AAACCAGCCTCTAGTGTGTGTTTATAATTGTATGTGGTGAAATGATTTAAGACTGAGCAGGTTCACTTCTAAACTTAAACCATGAGAAATACTCAATACATACACATACATTGATGCAGACATTTCTAGCACTTCTAGCACTCTTCTTGCTGATAAACTAATAGTGTTCCCCTTACAATATCAGAATTATGATATGTTGTAACTAATAATAATAACTGATAACTGATAATGGTATAGAGGACAAAAATTATGTGCAGATACATACGTGATGTGGCGGAATATATATATACCATATAAAAATGACATACACAGTTAAAACAGACTGGAGCTATACTGTATGTATGTTATCAGTCTTCACTTTACTGTTCTCCCACTATTGTATAGCTAGAAAGCTAGCAATATTAAAGTGACATAAAAAACCCAAAGTGAAATACTTTGAAATATCAAACATCATCTTGTATGGGCCACTGATGGGCCTCAAGCCAAAGTTTGGGCACATGTAGTCTGAAAGGACTTAAGATAAAATTGATTTGCACAGTAAACTACAAGCTACAAATTATGATTATTTGGATAGAGCTCTGTGAAAGGCCAAGGCCTAAGTTGTTAGTGTGACTCATTACACTCCAACTATAGGACCATCCGTGATTTTTTTTTATCTCAACAATCTGAGACACTGGGCTGAATCACATGGGCCAAAGTTGCATTATGATCAGAGTGCATATTTGGAAACTCACAAGGGGCTCAAAACTAATACACTTTAATTTAATATGGATTTAGAAAAAGGTTTTTTATGCACAAAGCTCAATCAGTGACTTTCACATTAAAAGAGCATTGGATTTTTTTTTTTCAGAATAACTGCTAAATCCTGAACTCTCAGTTTTTTTTAAGATGATGAGAGCCTGAGTTCTCATTATCAGTACAATTGGCGAGACATTGCTGCATTCAAAGACCGTTATACTACTCCCAAGTTTCTGGGAAACGTCGCCTCTTTCTTTGGGGATGCAGATGAGTCTGGTGCACTTGACATCTTTTCATGACCCTTGTCGCCCCCCATCCCTCCCCCAATCCTGGCCCCTCCCGGCCCCTGCAGGCCCTCACTCAAGGTGCTGTCTGTCATATTGGGCCTGCGTGGCACAGCATTGCCACTTGCCCCACCGAGCGTGGGAATGGGATCGTCCAGTCGTTCACATCTCCTGCACTGCGGTTAACGGAATCAATTAAGCAGGCCCGACCCCCCTGCATCTCCCCAAACCCCTCAGTTGCGGCCTCCCTCCCTCATCTCCTCCCATTTCTGCCACCTCCCTCCCTCCTATTCCTAACCCCACTCTCCCAACTCTCTCTCTGTCCCCCTCTCTCTCTCTATCTTTCTCTCTCTCTATCTATCTATCTATCACGATGCAAGCATGAGATGGGAAACACGGGGATTTGTGAATGTCACAAATTCCTAAAATAAAACAAATCTAAAAATGAAAATAAAGCCATATAACTGAAGAAGGAAATATTAGCAACAAACACCAGAGCAAATGTGTGTGTGTGTGTGTGTGTGTTAATGTCAATGCGTGAGTGTGTGTGTATGCGCGCGTTTGTAAGCGTCAGATTGACAGCTAACACACACATTCATCCACACCATCCACACCGTAAGTGTTACTTTACGTTAACTTAACCCCGTTTGTATAATGTTTTAGTAAAGTTAAAAGAAATGTTCGTTGCCACCGTATAAAATAACTACACAATCTTAATTTTGTTAAAATTAATACACTGTGAAAAAATGAAGCGTGAACAAAATCAAAGTTGTTTCTAGGCTGGAACCTTTTAGATTCCTTATTATAAGGATAACATTTCTTCCTGCGTTCTGCACAAGTCCTCGACGAGTCTGGAAGTAGTTTTTACTTTCGGTTATCTAGCTTTATGACGAGCAAAACACTCATACAGCTAGATAACCAAAGATAACAACAACACTTCCCAATCTGCAGCAATATTCCACACGTGATTGTCCTCTTCTCCAAGTTTCCACTTGGTATAAATTCCACAATATAAAGCAAAATCCCTGCAAGTCACATATTGAGTTTGATATTCCTCACATCCCCTTATGTGCACAGCCCTGAGCTGCTGTAACCCAGGTGTTAAAAGGTGTGGGGTAAAAAAGATATAATCCTGTGTTAATGTCATATTCACTTGACATTAACCAGTATAACTGAGCAGAAGTTGGCTTTGAAAATCGCGGGTAAGGTGCAGTCATCCTTGCACATGGGCCCTAATTTGCAATGCAAATATCCCCAATCCCACAAAAGGCTCTTTCGCCTCTATTAAGTCGTTGTGGCAGCAGCAATAGATATCCTGTGAGGCCGGCGCAGGAGAAACACGGCAGAGAAGTGAAGAAGAGAAGAGAAGGGGGGAAATCCGGTTTCCTGTGGAAAGCGCAGTAACAACACAGGGAATTACGACGCAAATGTTTCGGATTATGGAGGCAGGAGCTTGTTTTTTTTCTCCCTTGAGCAGAGTGTCGAGTTGTCCGTTTATATCCAGATCGTGCTGAGAAGATAAGAAGCCGAGGACTGTGTCGAGCCGAAGCAGCGACTCGCTGTACTGCAGACTTGGATGCTCGGTCGCTCAGAACAGAAGTGCGGGGAATAAGGGGCCATCCCCAAAAGGATATGTTGGTGGGTGCGGGGGGGAGCTGGGGGTGGCCAAAATATGGACCAACCCCGGTCAGGTCAAAGGGTCTCAGACCACGACAATGTAACTTCGGTGATGTCATGAAAAAAAAAAAAAAAGAAATCGCAAACGCGCTCTCCTCTCCATGCACGTTCCCTGATCCCTTACTCCACTCGCGTCGGAGTAAGTCCAGCTCAGAGGCTGGACGCGTTCCCTCTTCTTATACGGGGATGAAAATAGATGACAGGCAAACCATGTATTTTAATACAGAAAGACTGCTTTTAAAGGTAGTGCGGTCGGAAATGGCAGCGATTTAACAATAAAAACACGACACCAGGGAAAGGAGGAAAAGGGGACCATCCCGGAGCAGTCCGAGCGCCAGCATCTCTGTCCACGTATCCAAAAGACGGGCTGCGTTTTCGGTTCCCGACAACATGCCACTCGCTCTATAGTTACTGATATGTATATATATATATATATATAGTCTCTCGTCTGTCAATTTTGTCGATACCCTATACCTCGATATACGCATTTTCTGTCATCCCCTCTGAAGGCTATATATGTATTTATATATTTATACATATACATATACAGTATATTGAGTAGGTAGGTTAGTGTCGCCTTATAGGCAAAGTAAAGCCCAGGGGCTGTCAAACAGCACACAGATTTTAGATTGGGACATTTCAGTTTAATCAACCTACACCTCTGTTAAACTGGCCTGGTATGTAACACCTTTACTACATGGCACGGTGTGGCTCATGCAGCTGCAGCTAGTGCTTATAGACCTGAAGGACAACTTTGGGTTCGGATCATAAAACACTTCCCATGGAAGGAAAAAGCCATCTTGTGACACTGGCTGACTCAATTCAAGCGTGTCTGGTGGGGTGCGTGTGAATAGGCTGCCTGTGCGCACACACAGGGAACGGGAATAATCAGGATGTGTCACATTAAATATAACAGGTGTTCCCTTCAAGTAATGCTACTGTATTAAATGTGCCTCACAGGGTTGCTGTGTCTTCGGTGATGGGAGGGGCAAACAAGGATTCTCTCATTACCATATGTAAGTGCCGTTACGGCCCGTTGCTTTCAGTGTAAAAGGCAAAACTATTACCATCATTATTAACGTAATTTCTTCAGATCCACCTGCACCACGGTGCCAACACTAGAGTCTCTGAACGTCACAACTGTCTCATGATAAAATATTTAAAACACAACTTTTGCGCTCATATTGTCAGTATCCTACCTCATCGTCGTCACACTGCCCTCCTGGTGAGGATTAGATTAATAAAGTTTAATAAAACTTAATATCATTAGAACCCACAGCTCATTAGGAGTTAAAGAGGTTTCAGTGTGAGGCCTCCCACTCAGAGGCTGTGCTTTAATTACACCATGACATATTTGATTAAACACTTTCCAACCTGCTGACCTGCGTTCAGTAAGAATTACGCGAATCTCCGTGAAGGTTGAGGACACAAAGCTGGGCGAGGAGCCAAGATTGTGCGTAAATCGTGCACTTGAAATGTTTTTTCAGCTGATGTTTTATTTAAACAAAGTGAAGTTAAGCGTGTGTTAACTTCACTTTGTTCATGAAGAGTTTTTATTTTTTATTTTTAACTCTTCATCAACACAACAATAGTCTCTTATTTCTCTTCTAGGTCGTTGAGTGACTGTGACTGATTGTGGTGACGTTGTTCTTTGGTTTTAAGGTCAACTTTTCCACTTTTTTTTTGTTTCTACTTTGGATTCGTACACTTTTGAATAAACTCCACCTCAACTGTATATGTTTGTATTTTCTATTTAAATATATACTTTTATAATATGTATTCTAAATGTAGCTTTCATAATTCTTGAAATTTGTATAAATCGACCATGGTACTAAAATATGTGAAATATGTGTAGTTTTAATAATGAAAAATGTTAAAGCCAGATTAAATGATAAAACGTTGAGTTATTTTTATTTAAGAGTTATTCTCTCTTGCGTCAGAAACGGATATGAACTCTAACTGATTTAAAAAGAAAGTGTATAAATAGAAGCTTTGAAAGAAAAAAAGTCAATTATTACTTATAACTTTACGCTTTACAAAACAACCATAACAAAAATGCTGATTACTGCCAAGAATGAGTCTCACCGGTGCGCTCTATAGTTTCAAAGTGTCAGGTGACACATCCACAGCCAGGAAATCCACATTTCCGTACACAAAACCCATCTAGAATGTCTCTAGTCTCACAACAAGCCCACATGTCAATTTAAAAACACTCATTCAACTTTTCTAGAGCGGCTTTTACGCACACGTTCAGCACTACACACGTAGCCCACTGAGGCAGGGCACAAAAGTTGCACTTACTTTCTCACAAAGGTGAGTCCCCAAAATCTCTGCAACCGACCACAGAGCGTCCCGTGAGCAGGAGACTGGCACGGTTCTCTCACTTTGTTCCGTGTCTGCCGTGCCTTGCCGTGCCTTGCCGTGTCGCGCCGTGCCGTGCTGTGTGTGGTATAGGTTTCCCACCCTTTCAGATATCCCATGCAGCCGCATGTATTCATTGGTTTGAAGGGCGGCAGAGGGGGCGCATCACTTTAAAATTGCCGCTAACACTCGGTAAGCCCGCATTATAGGCGTGCTACAGCTGCTCTGTGCAAAGCACGACGGACATCCCAAGCACATGATAGATGAAGAGAAGCAGAAGGACGAGGGGGGAGAGAAGGAGGGAGGAAAGTAGAGAGGGAGGGAAGATGGGAGGGAGACAACTTTCCCATAACGTCCATACATACGCACCAAAAAGAAAGGTGCGTGGACACTTTGGGCTCATAGTGGGCAAGTTTGTTTTCTACTTCCTCCTGTTGGTGGGACGGTCGGATGATGGGGGTGATGATGATGCGATGATGGGGGAGGAGAGGAGGACGTGCTCGGAAATTCAAACAAGTTCCCTCGGTTCTTTTGTTGCACGCACGAACTGAGGAAGCATTGTTCAGGGCTGTTTTTTTTTTTGGCGTGGTGGACCGCTCTCCTATACCCTCCCAGTACCTCCCTCTCTACCTCCAAGTCTCCCTGTGTCTCCCTCCGTACCTCACCTCCCTCCTTCTCCTCCCTGACCAGGTTACGAAGTCAACCCTCGCAGTTGGGTGGTAATGAATTTGCTGCAGGCGCTTGGCTAACGCGTTTTGACAAACGGGACGCATTTACCGGTTTTGCGGACAGAGGGGAAAATGATTTGCTGCGCACAATTCCCCAACTACGTCCAGAATGGGGTCAATAATGAAAAGAGAGGAGCAGGGGGAAACGGTGCATCGAAACTTCTGTCTAAATGTTTTTGATTTGATCTCTCTCTCGCTCTCTCTCGTGTGTGTGGGCCCATACACAAGCCAAGCACACCTGTGAAATGACCCCTCTGTCTAATTAAACACAACTTCACGTGACCTCTCCAATATAAGACTTTCTCTCTCACACACGCACATCATTGGTACAAGAAAACAAACACACACACACTAAAACTGTGTTGACCTTTAAACTCCATAGAACCAAAATCTTTGCCCTAACCCTCACATCATGCCTAAATCTGACGAAACAGCAATTCTCATCTTCATCCAAACTTTAATTATCGGCAGAGAAATGAGATTCTGCCTCATAAGAACTTGGTTAAATATTCCATAGAACTATGTAGGATCTAATAAACCCTGATGTTAGTGTTTAGGTGTTTAACAGTTGTTGAAATGACCTTAAATAGAAGACAAAGTGTTGGAAACATTATATAAGTTAAGGAGGAGGATTCTTATAGTGACAACACACTTGTATTTACTGTTGTAAGTGCCTTTTAATAGTAATTGTATTTTGCAAGAAAATATCTGCAAAAATGACTTTTTTTTAAATCAATCACATTGTTTTGTTACCTTTATTTCTTATTTCCCAGCCATTGTTATTACTTGTTGTTATTTTTTCTTATTTTAATGTTTCAGCAGACCGGAAATCACTAAATGTCACATTATTATTAGAGAGAAAATTACAAATGTAAATGAGGCACAAAGCATCCTCTCCCATTCACCTCCTTCCCATCATCACTCCCTCCCTCCTTCCTTTTCGCCTAATTGCAGGCGTATCCATTACATTCAAGCGGATTCACGTTTTAGTTTAACAGCGAGGGCACGTTCAATGACGTAGACAAGCATATCAGCTACGTGCAGCCATATTTAAATATATGAAGACAATTAGCGCATCAAAATATGCAAATCCCGCTTACTGGGCTACACGGTCCGCCCTGGCGCAGTCGGAGTGTAATTTCCCCCCAGCCACAGCTACTTCTTGGGTGTTTGATTGCCGTTCTGAAAGCCATGATATGCAGTCTTTGTATTTTTTTTTTTCTTCTCATTTTTCTCCCCTTCAAGATGCTTCGTTAAGGTGAACGGGACGGAAGGGAGACGTGTATTCACGGAGAGAAGGGGAACCGTGGCTCCTGCGTGGAAAAACCGCCCATGCGTAATGAGACGGACCCGCTCTCTGCCATTCTCAAATCTGCGGCGCCGTTGGCTCTGGTGGTGTGCGTATAATTTTTAATATTGATGCATATTCAGTGGATAGATTTGCATTACATACTTTCATGCTCGTGTCGTGTGTGTTTTGGCATCTTCTACAGACGCGGAGACCATTTTTTTTTTTTTTTGTTCTGCTGTAGACACGGTTTTTATTTCGTTAAATTTCACACTTTATACGTTTCAATTTTTTAACAACTTAAACCACGCACAGTGACGTGATATCGGCGTTACTGCAGTTTTTCTTAACAACATTGTCCCTAAAATGTAAATCATGTTAATGTGCCATATTGGATTCTGAATAGTCAAATGCAGCAATGCAT